AACCATCTTCGGTGACGAATGAAGTTTATCTCGTTCTTCAAAGGTAATTTATTTGGTAACCTTGAGCTAAATCCAAAGGATGTAAATATTTATTGCCTTTTAGTTTATTGATAGCATCATCGATGTTTGGCATCGGATAAACTCTTTATTGATCAGTTTATTTAACTCGACATAACTTATCACCATTCATATTGACCATTTGGTTTGGTACGATAAAGGCTGGTGCTCTCCTCCGAACTTAGATTTTTCCACTAACCGTTTCTATTAATTCATCTAATTATCTTTCTGATTTCGTGTTTCATTTTATCACTCATTCGGAAAGGTTTAGTTTAGGCACTGTTCTATCTCCAAGATCGATTTTTATGTTGCAAACTGATGCTGGTACACATCCAAGATCGTAAGATGATTTCGAGAATGAGTCCTTATTTCGTATCAAGGTTTCATAGAGTGTCCTTTTATCATCATCATCTAGTGATGGATTGATTGACGTGCGAAGAATATCTTCGACGCTGTCAACCTTTGCTGGAAAGTCTTCGTTTTTCACCGAAAATTCTTCCACTGTGTTGATGATTAATTTTGATTCTTCGGGTTCTGGGTAATATTCTTTTATTCTTTGGATGAAGTTGATTTTGTGTTTGTTGAGACTGTCAATTTCTGCAAGTTTTGTTAATTTTGAAGGATCGAATTCGTCCCCATACCACGATATTAGTAGTCTTTCAATGTCACTTTGATTTGGTAGCTCCATTGAGATTTTATAAGGTCTGTCAACTGTCACTTGTTTTAGTTCATACGGTTGATCTGGGCCTTTAGCAATTATTATGCATTGAGTAAATTTTAACACATTTTCACCTAAGATAATGTCATTTGATAGCTCCTTTATCACGTAGGCGGCGATGATTCTCACCGTCCGGCCATGAGTGATTTTCAATGGAACAGTAAATTGACACTTAACTTTGTTAGCATCGATTGCCAGAAATTTGACATCGGTTGGATAAGCGATTAATCCTAATTTGATTACCACTTCTTCCTTTATTAGGTAGTACATGCACCCGTATCAAGAAGACTTTTATTTTTGATTCGCTCCAATGATGTTGATATTAGTTACTGGATATCTTTGGTCGTCAGCACTATTTATATCATATATGATTGATTGACAATCTGATATGGTTGAGTCTCTTATCAACTTGACTGATTTGGTCATCACTTGCTCTTGCGATTGGTTTAGAATCTGTTTGTTGATCTGATGAAGTTGCTCTTCTTTAAGATATCTGCAGTCAACTGTATTGTGTGTATTTTCTTACACCTTGAACACCATTTCTTTTCATTTCACCTTGTTGATAACCTTTGTTTTCACCTTTGCTAGATTTTACACCTTCTTTAGTGTTTTCTATCACCTGGCGATTTTATAAGCATTTCGCTTTGAAACCATTAGCTGGTGGGTTTCAACAATTTTTCTTTCGATGTTCATTAAATCAGTCAAATCAGTTCCACTCTCACTCGGCAGCAATTGTATTGGGAAGAGACATTAGAATTATCATTATATAGGGATCAAAGGATATCAGGACAAATTACTTTAGCAGCTTAATCTTCTTGAGATGTGTAATTGGGTCCTCTCCAGAGATTAACTTTGTATTCTGAGAGTATAAAATGCGTCAGCAATTTCTGTTGCTTATAGTTGACCTTATCATCATTTCTTTTAGATCATCATATTCAATAAACTGGTTTTGACTTATGATGTCTTCGCACTTTTACGTGCTTCACCTTGAAGTGACCTCTCATATATCCAACCACTCTTTCTTTGATTCATCGATAATTCTTAAATCGTATTCGAGTGTTTCGATAAAGGAAGTAAGGTTTGATTATTATCGGGCCAATATCTCGAAGATATTCTTCGGATAACCTCCCTTGAATTGGTGTTAGGTAAGGTGCCCTTGGTGGATAATTAGTGTTGCTTTGATACTTTTGATTAAAATCACTCAATGTTTCACCTTTACGAAGTATTCACCAGCTATTAGCAGCTTGAAAACTGTTTATACCCATGCTTTTAAGCGCTTCTTCTGACTGTACTTTTAAATCTTCTGTACATGTCATTCCTGCGTTCATTAAAGCTTTTATGGTTTCATCACTTACTCCTATGCTTCTTAAAGCTACTGCTTCCAGGCCATAGTGAAGTGTATTCTAAAACAGAGAATCTTCTTGAGATTGGTTGTTTTACCATCCCATAGGTTTTGAACATTATGATGAAATTACCGCTGAGAGAAGTCTCTCATGTGTAATGTATCTGCATTTAATTCCACTTTTGCCATATCGATTAATTGTTTGCGTTGAATAGTTTTATAAAGCGTCATGATGAGTGTATAAGAAATTGATGATGGTGTTTCAATGATAGTTTCTTGTTTCACGTAAACACTTTTAAGTCTTTTGATGAGATTTTTGAATTTATAATTTTGAAGGTTATTCACTTAACACACACTGTAGCTTATAGTTGCATCCACTGTCACTTTGTAATCAAGGTTGAAAAAAATCTTCGACCAAACAATCTTGTATTCAGGCTTATTTTAAGAAGACACAATTGTTTTCCTTCACAACAGAAGAAAATCTTCTTGTTTAATTTCAAGATGCTTTGAAATTAGAGAAAAAAAAACTTAGGTGATCAGACTAAATTATATAAACACATTAAATCACTACGTTAAAGTTAATGAGAGCTTAACAATTCAGAAACAGTCGGTAATCTCCACCAAATTATGTTAGGGACGGACATAATTAAACCGATTAGCAATAAATAAAAAATAAATGAGGACCAGGGACCGTTACAACTGAACAAACTGAATTAAGTGATTACGATTAAGATGATGTTTATTTGAATATAAAAGATTAGTAATTGATTAATTAGATACTGAGTGAAGTTCACTAAAGGAAACGGAAAGTGTTGATGAGTAACAATTTAAATATATTGTGACTTAAAGAGACACTGGTTAGTAATTACAAAGGATTGTATTTAAGATGTAGTCCAATACTCATCTATGTGTCAATCAGCCAATGATAGATTAATACAAAATGAGCTAGTATGAACCTAATGTAGATCCCTTTACAGTATCATGAGAAAATTGATTCCAAACTCTGATTGTTTCAAGAATCAATGTTAGTTTTACCTTGCGATTGTAGAAAGTTTTATTAATATAATGATAACTTCTAAATCCTTTAACTGCTATGGTCATGTAACTGTCAAACTAATTGCTACTTAATTGTTGATGATTAAATTACATTTGTTTACAATTTAAAAGGTTTTTTGTTTGTTTGAGTGGTTAGTTTTTTTATCCTCCTAATAAATTGTGACAATTTAACTGTTTGAGTTTTCCTGTTGATTGTTGATGTTGATTAGATTAAACAATTTTCTACTAATACCAACAATTTAATGAGCTTGGTGATTATTAAACTTTTCAACTGTCAATTTCGGCAACAATCTACTAGAACTGTAATTAATTTGATTGTTAATCTAATCAGCAATCATCAAATACATGAAATCGGAACTAAATTTAATAACCAGAAAAATATTAACGTTGACAAAGATTGTGATCAACAAGAAATGAAATCAAAAACCAATTAATATTTACAGATTTAGATTGACAATCAACTAATGATAAGTTACTCATATTAGACTTTTGATTAGTTGAGCTCATGTTGCTTACAGAGTTGGTTTTGTTGTTGTTGATTGTTGAGAGTGAGAAATTAATCAAGAGCCAAGGGTGGGAGGTTTAGATGATTATGATGATGATGATGATGATTAGGAAGAGGAGAGGGAAGGTGGTAAAGTTTTTTTTTCTTCCAAGGAAAATGTTATTTAATACACAGAATTGAGTGTTAATGTTGCTGAGACAAGCAAATGTAAGCTAAATGGTTGGATGATTTAGCTTAGTTTACTATTTCATGATAATCATCATTATCATCATGGTGGTGGATGGGAGTGGATGATGGAAGGTGGGAGAGGAAAAAAAAATGATACAATATTTTTCTTTGTATTAATATTAATAATATTGGCTGAGAGTTTTTCTCATTCTCGAGTACTAATTGTTATTGTTAATGTGAGAAGAATCGAGTTTCAAATGAGATTCTTACCATGGGGATTTTTAGTTAGAGGAGAATTTTTTTTCTTCATCATGAAATATAAGTGATTATCCTGAATTTCTACTTCTATTATGTTTATCTAAATATTGGAGAAATATTTTCGACAGAATTTTTTCTTCCCTTTGTTCGTTCTCTCATTCAATTTAATCTCTTGTCTGATTATCTTTTCTCTCTTTAACTCTCTCGATCACCTTGTATTGGATTCTCATTCTTTGTACTCTTGTTTACATGGTATTTATTATAATACATATACTTCAGAATTTTTCTGACTCTATTGCAGAATTTATTCTGGTTATTTTATTCCAGTTGGTCGCTGTTGGAACTGATTGTTATTGTTCAATATCTATTCAAAAATAAAACTTTTTTTTTCTCTGATTAAAGTTCCCAAGTCAAGTGGATAGAATCATGTTAACAGGGAAAATCATTACAATTGAACAAAAGATTAGACTGACCGTTACTCTTGAGTTTATCTCTTTTACAATTACTGAAATAAATTGGAACCGGAAAAGGGAAACAATAGTCATTTGTTTCCCAATGATTTAGCGTTAAAAGATTATAACTTTAAGAATAAATTTTTGTTTCGAATAGTTTTTTCCCTCAAATTTTATTTCGAATATGAAATGCCCACAGAATCTATTTGATTGTCTTGTGATCAAATTTCCTGAATATGAAAAATGAATTTCGATAGAGAATATCATTTTCTTTCAATTCAGATAAATAGATGAAAGATGATTCAAAATAATTGAATTTCAATAGACCATTTGAAATGAACGCTCATGAAGGGATATAAAATTACCATGTTCTAGGCTAGTTTGAGATTTGATTCAAAAAATTGGACAAAATAGCAAAAAGAATTGGAAAAAAATGATAATTACCTTTGGCCATTGGTGATAACATGAGGATATTGATACAAGCCGCTCCTTGACCATGTCCAAGAACGGTAACATTACCAGAGTCTCCTCCGAACTCAGCGATATTTTCTTGGACCCAATGAAGAGCCGCTACTTGATCCATGAGTCCAAAATTACCCCGAGAAGAGCCATCAAGTGCTGGGAAAAAGCCTTTAAAATAATGAGAAAACAAACAAAGAAAACAAAGTTTTCTGAATTAAACTCTCAAAGAAAATTATTGAATTGAAAGTAAAATGATTATGATGATAATCTAATGTTGATTCTCATCTAAATTCATATATTAGATATCAAAAAGAAAAGAGAAAATTTCCTTTCCAAAGTAAAACTTATTATTCTTGATCTTTAATTCAGTGAAAAGAATTTTTTTACCATGATAAACATGATATCCACCCTCAAGAATTATGATAATCATGATATAATTTTGATAAACAGTTGGGATTGCAATTTGAATTACAACTTGTTCCTGTTGTTTACTCGATATGTAATATAAACATGGAAAAAAAGAAGAAAATTTCATAGAATAAAAAAAGAGATGGATGAAGATAATGATGAAATAGAAACGAAGAAAAAAATTCTTTATCTTTTTTTTTCTCTCTCTGATTCTTTTCCACTTTAAACCTTATTTAAAATTTTCTTCTCTCGGGGATCCGCTTTTCTAGTTCTCTCTGACTCTCCCTTCCTCTGTTTTTCTCACTCCACTTGAGAATGATGATAAAGAAGGATGAGGAATGAATATGATGATATTTCTTCATAAGGATAACCATGACAACCGATTCTCTCGGTATTCATTTAGCTTATTCAGTAGCTTACCTTTCTCATGGTAGTGTATTAGGCTCAAAGAGTATAATATAAATATCATGAAGGATGATGATAAAGTAAACAAAAAAGACTTCTATGAAATAGAATCCAGTGTGATAGAGAGAGCAAAAGATAAAAAGAACAAAAAAAAAGTTCTTAAACTAAGAAAATATTGTTCTCTCCACCCACTGAACAGGAATGATAATGTATTCTCAATGTATTCATATTCAGGGTGAATGAAAACAAAGTTCATTGTTATTATTAGCTATGAACACACCGAATTTCATAATATCCCCATGTTAACATGGTCGAGATGGGTTAGAACTGTTTAGAGTCAGGAAAATTAAGCAAAGTGAAAATTTGCCTTGGTGTTTCCATAAACAGTTAGATCTTTTTGTTTATCCTCTCCAACTCCTACACCTCCCAACCCTCTCTCTCTCTCTCTCTCTCTCTCCCTAACCATGTATTCATATAATACCAGAATTATTTTATCGATATTATTGTTTCACTCTTTCAAATCATTAGTAATCTAAAATTCACAAAGAAATTATTTCTTCCCATTACAACTATTACTTTCTATTTGAATATAGTAATGACTTTGTAACAGTAGCATTTAATTTACCATGAGGATAATAAATATCTTCATATGTACATCTGAACAAATTACATGAAGAGTTGAACTTTTCCTGTGTTTATTTCAAGAAGTTAAATTGAAATTTCATTCGTGAGGTGGAAACTTTGATATTTATTTACATCCAAGGTAAACGGTGGCTTCTGATCTGTTACTATTTTTATCATTTTAGTTTTTTTTTCAGCTATCGAATTGTTATTGATATAAAAAAAAACGATTCTTCTATTGTGGGTGGGAATTGTTTCCATGTAAACTAATTGAACCATGAATTTCTCGAGTTAAGCTCAGGATAGATGCTACATATTGGAATCATAGATAATTATTGTCATCAATTTAGTCTTATTTTTTTCATTTAAATTCTGATTGGAAATTGATTTCCATTTGAGTTCATTTCATGATGATAATCAACATATTAATCATGGTGAATGTTTCTTTCCCTGATGATGATAATGATGAGCAATTCAGTATCAACAATTTGAATTGCAGATTAAATTGTTGTTCATCCTTGTTCACCATTGAGATAAAAGTTCATTATGATTCAGTTTATATAAACTTTCACTTGGTCTTATTTATGGTGATCATGGTAAAGGTTATCATGATTAAGATGATAATTCAATCATCTAAATGATGGCGATAAAGTTAATATGAAAATCATATCGTAATCATGTTCAAATACATCAGGTAGTTCTGAGTTTATGTTGACTCACTGAATTTGGAATCAATTGTTTCCAAAAGCTCAGAAAATCAAAGATGCGGAACTTTTTTGTTGTATATAATGAAGAAATTATTATTACAGTTGTTATACCTTTCATGAAAATTATACAGAATTGAATCTAATAAACAATGAGTATCATGAACTAAATGTATTATCATTATCAAAGAAATAAGCTAAGAATCACAATTATATCTGAATTAATGTTCAATCAATTTGTTTCTGTTGACTGAGTTTTTTTTGCTCTCAACATAAGTTGAATAATATATATAATAATAATAACTCAGTTCGATAGCTATCATGTCAGAACTTCAAGTTTAGTTTCATTTACATCATCATCATGATAAGAGTATGGAAATTGAGTAACTTAATCTCTGATTGTTGTGACAAAAGTAAAACAACCAATGAGTTTTCCGGATACCCAATTCTTATTAATACTTGCAGATAAATGGCTACAGATCATCATGGTCATTTCATGGTTGGTTCTGAATAATCATCGAGATAAATTCAAGAGTCAACTGAGGGAGAGAGAGAGAGAGAGTGAACACTTAATGAACACTTGATAAGCTATTAGATCAATAAGAAATTATAATTTGACTCATTTCATGTTTACTCCAATCAAGTGAAATGAAACAATAATCACAATGATAGATTCAGTTTCCTTCATGATAATCATTCATAATCAATTGATTTATATTTTCCATTGATATTCCTTCATCAACATGGTGATGCTACTTATTGAATATCATTCATTTAGCTTTGGGAACTTTGTCTGGGCTGTCCAGTTAACGGAATGATTGAGAGGCAATATTATTAATAAAATGTTCATGGTAACAAATTCAATGATCATCATCTCATTAAACTAATGGTGATCAATTTGTCTGATGAGCTAAATTTGTCTAATCAAATGATATCTCTAGTTGACCAACGATAATAAGTGTCCTGTTTAATATTATTATTTTGTTTTTGTTCACTGTCCCGTTTTGATTGACAGATATTTTTGATTGTTGAGTTTGATTGTTGTTATACTGTTGTTGTCTTTACTGTTTTTAACGTTTCTCTGACGTTTTTACTTTGAGAGAAAGCATTGACCATTGGTCAAGTTTTGTCTTCATTGCTGTTTCAAACAAAACGTTTCCAAAGTTTTCTAAGTTAATCTAACTTGTCATATCAAAAAGTAGACAATCATGTAAAAGTTTAACTCCTGGTAAGGTCAGTATTTTGATGTGACAAATAAACATCAACCCAATCGGTAATTGTATTTGGACAGAATCCTTAGCCCCACTCAAGTAAACAAAAACCCTCCCTGTTCATGTTATCATTTCAAAAGTTTCAAGTTTTTTCTTCTACTCAGAACTTTTTTTTCCTTCAGGAGTCGAAAAAAACTAGATTGGCTTCAGGAGGAAGTTCACTGAAACAATCGTCGTTTTTTTTCAATCACCAGTAATGAGTCGGTGAAATGAACATGAAAAAATGAAAAGAGGGAGCTTAAATCTTCATCTCTCTCTTTCATTATGAAGATAACTTCCCTTCTGATCCTGAGTTTGAGCTCTGTTTCAATTTTACAATCTTTATAATAATATCTACTTGTTGTATTACACAATTTAAAGCGATAATTGTTATATCAAGTCATTTGATGCAAACGATTTTAGCATTAAAGTTGTTCAAATTTTATGATAATATGAATTGAGTTTTTTTTTCATCGTATTTGAAATGATAAATTCAGGATTCGAAATCAATCAAATTCATAGAATCAAAATATTTACAAAGAAATGGGAGGATTGGGAGAGTAGAGGAGATTCAATATCATAAGGATGATCATCAATCACCCAATAGACATGAGTTGACTTAATATTTTATCTTTTCATGATGATGATCATCTTTTATCTTCATTTTTCTCTCTTATTTCTGATGATGGGTCAACCATTAAATTTACTCAACAAGATGAAAAACTATCCTGAAGATAACAATGATATTGCTCATGATGATGATCATGGCACAAGAAACCTTGTCAAGCAAAAGCGGATAAACTAATCACCTTTAATTAAATCAATGATTGTCCACTAAGCCAGAGAAAGAAAGAAAGAAAGAGCGAGAGACAGAGAGACAGAGAGAGAGAGAGAGAGAGAGAGAGAGAGAGAGAGAGAGAGATTCAATGCTCAAGTCACTGAATATGAAGGGAAAATATCTATTGTTATTCCCCCATGAATCTTTCGAAAGCTTGACCAGAGTTAGAAAAAAGTTCATTCAGAGTTTCCATCTTATCTCATCTTATTAATATTGACATATTATTCATTATCATTACACTTATCAAATTTTGTTTTTCATGCAAAAAAAGAGCAAACAATCAGATTTCTAAGTAACAATTCATTAATAGCTCCAATCAAATGAAACATTATCATGAATCAATCAGGATTTATCTCCATAAAACAAATGATAACATTTGAGATGATGATGCTACTTTTTTTGTATCTGATTCAATCATTAGCCTCAGGAAAAGGATATAAGCATGTTGTTAATGCTAAATTCAGGATAAAATGGTCAAAGTGCTTTCATGATAAAATGGATAGACTTTCATTTCATTGAACTCATGGAGATAGAAAAACTATTGAAATATTTTTTTCACCCAAATTTGGAACAGATTTCATTTAATATCATTTTATCGCATCTCAATGTAATTTTATCACTTTCTACAAATATGCAGACGTTTGTGATTCCATTTTTTTATCCTTCCTCCTCTTCCCCATGCATCTCATGGTTTAGCATCATTATCGTGAACAATTGCTGATTCTATCTGCATGACAACTTTGAATATATTTTCTTCTTCCAGAATTTTTCACAACTATTCTAAGAATCATTCTCGAAACGAATTATCATCTTATCCCTCAGCATCTTTCAGTTCCCCAGCTACGTTGTCTTCTGGTGAGAATGATCTCTCTCTCTCTCTCTCTCTCTCTCTCTCTCTCTCTCTCTCTCTCGATCAATATGCAAACTCATTCAAACGAGTGAAATTGATCCAATCTATCAAATAAAATTGTTCTCATATTATCACGCTTTAACTATCTTCATCTTTTTCTTCATCATTATCGTCATCAATGTCATCATCGAACTTAGTTTTTCATCTTGCAACTTTTTCTTTTCATCTTTAATGTTTCATTTTCACTCAATTCATATTTTCATCTTCTCTTTCAATCATCATCAACCTACTTCACCGCCCAAACTACAACTTTCATATTTGGTACATTTAATGTCCAAATAATCACAAGAATCACCATCACTTTCAGAAAAAGAGTGAAAAATAAACTTATGAAAAGAATCAGGAAAAAAATCGAAACAAAATACTAACATGAAAAACTTTTTTTCCTTCTTCAAGTTTCATTCTCAAAATCTAATCAATATCTTTATCTACATTATCATAATCATTATCTTAATCTTCTTGTCAATCCAATTTGCTGATTCAACCTTATCATCATATTTTCATGCTTCACAATTATCATAATTGTTACAAACAAAACTCTTGCAACTTTTTTCCTCATATTATCATGTAAAACAATCAAATTGAACATCATATAACAAAACTAATAACATTAATTCAAATCGTAGACGAAGGTGAAAAAATCATCATCGTAATTAAGTGTAAAGAAAAGTTATTCAATGTCTCTGAGGAAAATTTCATGAGAAATTATCATCATAAACTGAATTTTGTTCATAGTCTGACCATGAAAATTTTTCTCTCATTCATAATACTTACCCAATACTCCAAGGCGATAGTTAATGGTGACCACTACAACGTTCCCATAACTGGCCAATACTGACCCATCATAACTTGAGCCAGAATTATATTCATAAGATTCACCATGTATGAAAACGATAACAGGTAACTTGGAAATTTCAACAGAAGCTGAGAATTTTGAAGAAAAAGAGAAATCAAATCAATTAATTGCGTCAATCACAATCAAAATGTAACATCAAGAAAAATATAAAAGATCCAAATAAAGATCAAGATGATTCTATCACAAGCAATTTACATGATTAAGCTGAAAATTCATTGAAAGATTGAACAAATTCAACAATAATAACAAAAAAGATTCATCAACATCATGAATATGAATAAATTGATTACTCGACCTAAAGTTGTTTGTCCCTCCAGAGATTTTCATGATTCATCAAACTAAATCCAATCAGTCAAAGGTAAACAAAATATTTAATTGAATGCTACATAGTTATAATAAGCTGAATTACATTATGAATGACATGAAACATTTGAAACTGACCAGATAGTCAGAATCGCATCGAAATATCAACGAATTGACCAGAAAACTATTCGAGTTAATTGGATAACAAAGTTTTGCAATCGGTCAGACTACGGCAACAATCAAACTTGAGACAAAGTTTTCAACGTAATTATCCTTATTATCATGCTAATCGTACTGATCAGAATCAGATTATCATATGTCAACGTTTCTCCATTAATATACAGACAGAATTTCTTGAAACTATCATGTTTACTCAGGGTGAATTGTAAATAATTTGATTAGATTATAAGATGAAAACGAAAATATGTCCATTAATTTGATAATCATGGATAACTTTTCATGATAAAAATTCAGTGATAAAGAGCAAAATAAAACAATTCAGTAATTTTCTTTACCAAAATTTGACCATTGAATATTTTTCTAACCTTGTCCAGCTTTTGTCCAGTTTCAAGTTTATTTAAACTTCCAAACCAATCGTTTGAATTTTCATGATATCTCAAGAATTTTGGATATTTTCCTGTGTATACACTGAATGTTTATTTTCTGATGAAATTTATGAATAAATGATGAGTAGATACACTCAGCGTAAATTCAAGGGTGTGGTTTAAATTTAAAGAGTATCCTTGACCATCTTATCATCATGGAAATGAAAATGTATCATAAATATTGAAGAGATTGGTTGAATGAAAAATACCCTTCCTCTGGACGACAACAACAACATGGTGACCAGAATAAATTCAATGGCCTCTTCAGTGTGATACACTTTGTACAAATATCTGAATACCTCTTAAACTATTCATGATAAAAGAAAAGTTTATATTTTTTTTCCTTCTTCCTCATGTAACAATATCATCGTAACATTTGGTAAAAGATATTCAAACAAAGTTGTAAAGAAAAGTTGATAACATTTCATGACGGAAAACTTTATGTTTTCCAGTAAATGGATATTCAATTGTTCATCATTTGAAATTTACCATCATCTTCATGATAGTTACATTGTCAATTTGATTAAGATTCATGTAACATGTTCAATTATCGAGTTCAAATGAAATTTCAAGAAGATTACGGCTGGAAAATGTTTCTCATCATCATGATAGATCGTAATTTAATTCAGAGCATTTAACTGAATTACTCTAACAATTTAAGATTCATTATGCTGCTCACATTGGGAAACTTGAAACTTTCTCATTATCTCTTCTCAGCTCATCCTCTCTCTCTCTCTCTCTCTCTCTCTCTCTTTCTTGCCATGATGAATGAATAATCTGAATTTTTACCTGAAAATTTTCCTCAGGTAAATATAATTTCCTTTGAAAATAATAACTGAACCTTGTTACTCTGATTACTTTAAGATTTCATCATAAAAGATCATTACATTCATTTTAATTAAAAGAGTATCAAATAATTTAGAGAGAGAGAGAGAGAGAGAGAGAGGAGAAGAGAGAGAGAGATAAAGTCATGAATGAAAGAGAAATTTCTTAAAATTCCGAGAATTACTCAGTCTGATCAATACATTTTCATCTGATGATTAATTTTATTAATGAGATAATAACTGTTACTATTTTTTAGCTAAAAGTTAAACAGTCTTGGAAAAATTGAAACCTCATGATCAGCTAATAATCTGTGAGCTTGAATTCTGATAATTCAACAATTTTCCTTCTAATTCACGAAAAAAAAATTCTGATGATTCTGGTGATTTTTTCCAGACTGTTATGTACAAATATTTACTCAGTTGAATCATTGGTTTATCATTATCACCATGAACTTTGGTTCCAGTGGTTATCATGAAATTTTTTCAGCAAAAAAAAGTATCCTCACTAAACTCAGTTTAATAATTGTCACCATTAGTTGAGTGTTTAGAGTTTCAATTATCAATATTATAATACTAATGCCTCATGAAAAAACGTTACAATATACTGAAAAATTAATTGGTTACAACTCTTGATCAGTGATTACCTTCATCGCCTCAGGGCTTGTAACTTGAGGGTATTGATTTTCCTCCAATGAAATCTAATCAGCTAATTATAATGATCGATACGAAACTGATAGCATTTTGAAAGAAAAAATCTTTGAAATTCTCGAAGTCAACACCAGAATTTGCATCTTCATGATAAAATAGGAATAAGTTGACAATAAAAATCGGTGTGAAATTTTTAAATTGAACTTTATGATTGTCATTTGAATGATTTACTCGCTCAGTTTAGTTAATTTATTTCTTTGGGTAAAATTTAAAATTCAGCAAAAACATGAAAGACCCATGAAACTAATGAGATTTAAGGTGATATAAGATTAGCATTAAAAATATGGAAATTCTTAGAGCTCAGAACTTTTTCTTTGTCGTTTATATTCAACAATATTTACCATGTGATGATCATCATGATGGTGATAAAATTGGTCTTTTAATATGAAAACGATAAAGAAAACAAGAATAACTTATATTTCATGGTGTAGATTTCATGTTTTTAATGTTGATTTGATTTATGACCTGAAATCAGATTAATATGAATCCTGGAGACATCCCATGATATCCCATCTCTCTCATGGTGGATAAGGTGAAAAATTTTCATGATGGGAAAATTCAAGGTAATTTGTTTTATCTGTTTCTATTTCTGGTCATCTGAATCAACGATGATTGAATTTTTTATAACAATAATATGTAGTTTAAATTGACATGATTTATATAATGTATTTCAACATCACCATGAATTGCTATTCAAATTCTGGTGTATTGATTATGAATCGTGAATAAATTCATGATAATGTTTTTTATCGGATAATAAAGTCTTTCAATTCAAGTTTTCTGTTCAGTTACATTGAATCTTTCTCTCTCAGTTTCTGAAACTAATATTCAGTAATCTTATGGTGATGATGATGATGATCAAAATGATTATCATCTCTCTGTCTCTCTCTCTCTCTCTCTCTCTCTCTCTCTCTCTCTTTCTGATTAAGGTGAGTAAACATTATTATCCTTATTTGTTATCAAAGTCAATCTGTTACTTGTTCATGATTGAAGTTGGAAATTGAATTGAACGGATGAACAGTTAAGTACCATGAGCATCATTATTATCATGGAAAAAAATTATAATAATCTATCAGAAAAGGGAATCATTTGCCTGGTGGTTCAGGATTAAATCATTTGCATGATAGTTTTGAAAATATTCTCAACAAAAGTTGAGTATATCAGATTAATCAACGGAATCATTAACAATTGAAAAAACTGAGCGACAAAATAGAATCATCAATATGATGTTATATCAAACAATTCAGTTGATTAACCTGAAAATTAATTCTCAAAGTAATTTGGAATACATATGAACATGGAAAAAAGTTCATTCAGATAAACTCATATATATGCATGGAACTCATGATAATGAGATTATCAGGTAAACTAGAAAACATTAAGATGTAAAAGGTTACAAAGGATTTTCCTTGTTAAATAAGAAACGAAAACTGAAATGATTCAATTAACATGATTAAATGTGAAACGATAATTTTTTTCACCCAAGAACAATTCATATGAGAGATAAAAGTTTCTCAGCATAAAATGAACATGAACAAAAAATTGTGATTATTAATGAATGATGAGTTATCATCATCATCATCAACTTAATCATAGCAATTATCATACAAGAAGGTGATGCTCATCAGAATTCATTACCATCAACATGAACCATGTGATTACTGAATCTTGAAATTGTTTCCATGTGACAAAGTAACAAACATGAAAAAAATCTCTTTCTTTTTAAATGAATTTCTTCACGATAAAAGGTGAAATTCAATGAAATGAAACATGAAGTAATAATAATAACAATTATCATCATGATAATCACCATGAAAACTATTCCTTATTCCTCTCATTCCAATCCTTTACTTACAAGATTCCCAGTTATTTATATACAAAAGTATATCTGAGTTTTCATGATCATTTTCACACTTTTGTGATAAGTATGAAAATTTAATTGTGATAATAAGTTAAAAATTTTATTCTATTAAATTATCTCAACTTGAATACGTTTGTAGTTTTGACGGCGGGCTTGTTGTTGTTGTTATTTTTACACCATGAATATTACCCTGAACATTATTCACTTGAATAAGTATCATCATCATTCACTGGAGACAGTTTTCCTCAGGAAACAAGGCTAGAAAATTTCAATCCCTGTTAACTAATAGAGATAAAGTTACTTGGTGAAATTTCATCATGAAAATTTTTTACTTTTTTTCGTACTCTACCATGAAAGACTGTGAGAAAATGTGTAATTTCAATATGAATCTTATTTCTATTATAAGTCTATCTATTATCATCTTTTTTAACATGATTGGTGGCGATGATCTTGTAAAACATGATGTTGATGAAGATGAGAGGTTGTTACGAAAATCTCATCATCATAAAACACCAAAGAAAGGTGTTAACATAAAATAAGTAAACACTAAAATGTATTGATCGTATTTTTCATTTCCTGTTTCCTGTGTGTGTCCATTTTCTCACCATGGATGAGTAAATCTGAATGAATCTGATAAGATGAAGGGGGTGAAAATTGAAGCCAATAAGTGGTAAAGATGATTCAATGTCAATTCTGATGGACACTCAAAGATCTTGATGATAATTAGTTGTCTTGAAAACGACTTTGACTTTAGACCAGGACCAGAA